ATCCCGACCGACATCTTCATGTCGGACAGCGTGAAGCCCTCGTGGGCGGCCCGTAGCGCGCGCGAGAGGTCCTTCTGGGGCACTACCACCGAGATGTTTCGCTCGGAGGCGCCCTGCGCAATGGCGATCACGTTTACCCGAGCTCGTCCCAGCGAGCTGAAGAAGCGAGACGATATGCCAGCGCGCTCCTTCATGCCCTCACCGATGATCGCCACTATGCTGCAGTCTGGCTTCGGGGCCACCCTGATCTCGGAGTCCGTCGCGAGCTCCATGGCGAAAGCCTCCTTCAAGCCCTCCACCGCACGATCCTGGTCGCCTGAATCGACCGCCACGGTGATGGAGTGCTCGGAGGAGCCCTGAGAGGCAAGGATCACGTTGGCGCCAGCCATCTCCAGAGCCTGCATCATCCGGCGCGCTACGCCCATGGTACCCAGAAACGAGGCGCCCGAGATGGTCACCAACGACACCTTCTCGATGGACGTGATCGCCTTCACCGGGAAGTCCTTCATGGACACGTCGTCCTCCTGATCCTCCCACTTGTTCCGGGCGTCCCCTCGGCCGTAGACCCTGGTGCCGGGGTGCGACGGATCGAACACGTTCTTGACGAGGACCGGGATCCTCTTCTCGATGCAGGGCACCATGGCCGAGGGGTGCAGCACCTGGCCTCCGAAGTAGGCCAGCTCCATGGCCTCGTCGAAGGTCAGTCGCGGGATCGAGAAGGCGCTGGGCACCCGGCGGGGGTCCGCGGTGTACACGCCGCTCACGTTCTTCCAGAAGGTCACGGAGGCCGAGCCCAGGACCTCGGCTGAAGTCGGGCGTGCCCCCCGACAGGCGGATGTTGGACGAAAAGTGAGCTCCAGAAGTGCTCCAAAGATGCTCCCGAAATGCTCCCTAATAGTCAAAACATCGCCCATGGAGTGTTGTTGACTATTTCTGAACCTAAGGAACCCTAAATAAGGAACGAGGCCCCTTTTTTCCATAAGTTAACCTTCGACTTCCTGTCGAAAACAAAAGGGAAGCCTGAGGCAAGCTGTGAAACACTTAAGGAACGCGGGGCCCCTCCCCAACCAAAAGGGTTCCTTCTTCAGGGCCCCGACTGTAGAGGGACACGCCCGACTCAAACCTTGGCGAAGATGGTGGCGGAGTAGTCCGAGCCGCTCCGCTTCAGCGTGGTGGGGCGGCCGTCCGCGGTGCTGCAGACGAAGCCCGTGACCACCAGCAGGGGCGCGTTGGCGCCGGCGGGGAGCCCGGCGAAGGTGCTGCTCCACATGTCCTCTCGGAGCTTGGACGGGGTGGCTGGCACACAAAGGGGTGTGGTGCCAGGCGTGGAAACTAGGGAACCGATCTCTCTATATATACGCCAACGCTTTTTCTGGCCCCGCACTGACACTGGCACAAGAAAGCGGATCCTGGGGTATGCGGGATCCTGGTGTAGGCATGTTTCGTGGCTTCCCCGGGAAGCCAGGGAAACATGTATACACCACACCATGCCGACGTCGTCCCCGACCCTCAAAAAGTCCTGGGATTGAGCAACAGCCCGCCACTGGTAATGTATATGCTCCAATTTCCGAGAAATGGCCATGTGATCTACGACAGGTAGCATCGCCAGACTCCCTCCTCTACATAACGCTGGCACCACACACCCCTTTGCACCGCGCCCCCCGCCCGCCTCCGGAGTCCTGCATCTTCTCCATGGTCGTGCCCCACAGTGGCTGGATCGTGTCCATGGCCTGCCCCTTCTCGCCCAGCCCCATCGATGATGCCTTAGAGGCCTCCTAGATGGGGTCGGAGTAGATGGGGTCGGAGGATCGCGTCGCATCGGCGATACATCGGCGATGTATCGGCGATGCACCGGCGATGTATCAGCGACGCCGGCGATGCATTGGCGACGTCCGCGTGAAGAAAATCGGGCTCTGCATCGAGCCGCATCGGGGATGCATCGGCGATGCGGCGCGATCTTCCGACCCCATCTACTCCGACCCCGTCTAGGAGGCCTAGATTGCCTCCGGCACCACGAGCACGTCCCGGGCGTCGACCCAGTCGGCAGCGTGGCCCGTGGACTTCAGGTACGCGGCGAGCGTCTGCGCGGACCAGACCTCGCCGAGCCCAGCGACCAGCTCCTGGGAAACCCACGGGCACCGGCACCACCACAGCTGGACCAAGGATAGAAGAACATCCTTCAAGAATATGAGACTGAGTATCGTTTATCCCATCCCTATCCCACACGGCGTGGCCTGGGCCCCACTGGCCGATTTACCCCCCTAGCTGGGGACATAGGTCCTTCCCTTCGGGTTTCGAGGGGTACATCCCCAACTGGGGGTGTAATTTGGTGGGGGTCTCGAAGGGAATGGGGATGAGGATCGACCGTACCTTCCCTGAGTCCCTCAGGCGTCTATGGCCTCAAGGCGTGCAATGCAGTGGCCAGGCACTCTGTGCCTGCGGTGTACTTAAGCGCGGCGCCAGGCGCGGCGCGATTGCAAGCTCGTAGCTTGTTGTAAAAGTGAAATGAAAGGGCGGTCCGCCGAATGGCCTCGGCGAGTGAGTGTGGGATGGGGATGAGGATGAGGAGAAGGTCGGTTAAAAGATACTGGGAGACCCTCCGCTGGCCAAGCTGAAGATCTGTCGAGGGTGCCCTCCCCCGAGATGCACCAGAGCAGTCAAAACCAGCACGAAGAACGCCAGGGCACCCTCCCCGCACCCACCTCGACCTTACCCTTGCCCCGAGCCGGCTGTACAGTCGGGGCGTTGACCTAAGGAACCCTAAATAAGGAACGAGGCCCCTTTTTTTCCATACGTTAACCTTCGATCTCCTGTCGAAAATCTAAGGAAAGCCTGAGGCAAGCTGTGAAATAATCGAGGAACACGAAGCCCCTCCCCAACGAGAAGGGTTCCTTTTTCAGGGCCCCGAGCCCGCTGTACCTCCGCAGGCCTCTCCCGAGGGTGCGTTCTGACCAGGAGGTTTCGAGGCGGATCCGGCGGTGGCGACGAGGGTGTGCCCCCCCAACAAAGGGGCCAACGGGAGAAGCATCGGGTCAGGTCGGGCATGTCCTCCTGCAGGCGGACTTGGAGGACAAGATGCGCCATTGTCACAAAACAGATCCAAAAAGAATCCGAAATATTCCAAACATCGTCCCCAGACTATTTTTTGCCATTTTTGAAGATCCCTCCTGTAGAGGGACATGCCCGGCTCAAGGGTAGGGACTAGGGGTACCTTTTCCCTCCTCCGAGCTCCAGCATCTGGGGAGGCACTCCCCGCATCAGCGCCATGGTGGCCAGCAGCGAGCCCACGCTCTCACCGTCCGACTCCAGGCTGGCCACCACTGGGTCCGTCAGCTCTGGCCTGCCCGGCACCAGCTCCAGCGTGATGCCCACCTGAGCGACGATCAGGAACGGGCCCTACGCGAGACGACACAGCGACCTTACGCGGCGGCTTACGCGGGCCGCGGGTGCGGCACGCCACACTTAGAAGAAGATAGAAGGCCATAAGCATAAACATAAGCCGGGCGCGTCCCCCTACAGGGAGATTGTCAACGAAACATGAAAAAAGAATCTCCCAACTGGTCAAATAAGAATCAAAAATAGTCCCCAGACTGTTTTTATTTATTTTTGAATATTCCTCCTGTAGAGGGACAAGCCCGACTCAAGCATAAACCTTTGGCGCTCCGCGCGGATTTCTTGGACCTGCGCCGGACCCCATGCTTTCTCATATTTGGGGGGTTTTCGTCTGCCCCCCCACGTCCCATGTTTTCCCATAGTTCCTGGGGGATCGACGATTAATTGTGTCTGACACAGACACAATTAATCGTCGATTTTGTCCCTCCTGAACATTGAAGATGGAAGCCCATTAGCAGAAAAAAAAAACATTGACATCGTCGATTTTTCCCTCCTGAAATGTTCAGGAGAGAAAAAACACACAGACTGTGTCTTTTCCCCCCTGGACATTGAGAAGAAGATAGATCGCCATAAGCATCGACCTCTGGCGCCCCGCGCGGACTTCTTGGACCTGCGCCGGGGGCCCCGCTCCCAAGCGCGCGGGGCGCGCCAGGGCGCGCCGCCGGAGGCGCCGCGCCGCCGGGAGGGGGGGGCCGCGCGGATCTAAGGCATCCGCGCGGAGCGCCACGAGTTTTATGCTTCAGTCGGGCTTGTCCCTCTACGGGAGGAAAATTCAGAAATGGTACAAAAATAGTCAGGGGACTGTTTTTTGATGATTCTTTTTTGACCATTTGTGGGTATTCTTTGAGTATTTCTCATTTTTCGTTGACAAACTCCCTGTTGGGTTTATGTTTATGGCGTTCTTCGAACGTTTGACTGCCCGCGGATGGTCGCGCGTAAGCGCACTGGCTTCCAACGTTTGACGGGCCTGTCTTCCACCACCACCACCACCACCACCATAAGTTGGAGGGGGAGGGGGTCCTCCTCCTCCTCCTCCTCGTCCTCCTCCTCCTCGTCCTCCTCCTCCTCTTCCTCCTCCTCCTCTTCGTCCTCCTCCTCGTCCTCCACCTCCCGCCCCCTCCAACTTATGGTGGTGGTGGTGGAAAACAAGCCCGTCAAACGTTGGAAGCGAGTGCGCTCACGCGCGACCATCCGCGGGCAACTCACGCGCCAATCTCGGCTCATACGGCCCCCTCTATTCTAAGTCGGGCATGTCACCCCACATGGGGATTTTGACCGAAAAAATAACAACAGTCCAAACAAATATTAAAAATGGACAGAACTAGTCGAAAAATCGTCCCTGCAAGAATTCTTGACTATTTTCGGATATTCCTGTATCGGCGGTGGACAAACCTCCATGTAGTAAACCTCCCTTTCGTGAAAACGGCCTAGTACCGAAACCGACGGACCTGGACCCGCAAAAATGACGGCCGCGACGCCCTCTCGCGAACCGAAAACGGCCAATTCGCTAATCGACGTGTCAGGGGAGGTCTATCATCTATCACCCTCCTTCTGTAGAGTTATGTTGCTCCAATCCCACTTAAGGACCATATCCCAGAAATAATTTCGAGCACCCCGAAAAGTGTCAAAAGAGTGTCGAGACAGTGTCGAAACAGTGTCGGGCGAGTGTCTCCCAGGGCCCGACGCGTGAAAACCCTTGAGTTTCGGTACTTTTGTTAATGCTAGAATGTTTTCCCGGCGATCGAGGCTAAAGTAGGTTGGAACATCATAGCTGGGTCAGGATAGGAGCTCCATCAACCTCCTCCTGTACAGTCGGGCCGCTGAAAATTGGGACGCTAAATAAGCAACGAAGCCCCTTCTTGGCACTGTAAGCGCCTCCGTGCTCCAGGAGGGCAAGAGGAACAGCACCGGAGGAACCTAAGGAACATCGAGCCCCTTCCGAACCCAAACTGCTCCTTATTTCAGCGTCTTGACTGTAGACTTAAGTCGGGCCTGTCCCCTACAGGCGGATTTCCGACACAAAATATGTTTCAACAATACCCAAAAATAAACCAAACATACTCCATACTCCAAAAATAGCCGGTGGATTATGTTTTTAGTATCGTGTAACCTTTTGGGGGTATTTTTGTTTTTATTTTTCGTCGAAAATCCCCCTGTAGGGGGACACGCCCGACTTAACTGTAGAGGGACACGCCCGACTTGCGCCCACGCGCCAGTGTCGACGCAGACGACCCCCCCCTTTCTCTTGCGTCGCCCGCCTGGCGCGCGACGGCGGCCCGCAGCTGCGCGGCCGCGGCGTCCCTGCGAGGAGGAGGCCCAGGAGGAGGAGGAGGAGGACGAGGAGGAGGAGGAGCTAGGAGGAGGAGGAGGAGGAGGAGCTTAGGAGGAGGAGGAGGAGGAGGAGCTTAGGAGGAGGAGGAGGAGGAGGAGGAAGAGGAGGAGGAGCAGACCCAGGAGGAGGAGGAAGAAGAGGAGCAGGAGGAGGAGGAGAGGCACCCAGACCGCGACGGTCATCGTGCTGCGGTCGACCCGCACCACAAGGATGCACGGCAAGGACCCAGACATGGTCGCGTCGTAACAAAAAAGCAAGACGGGAGGTTTTGGGCTATTTTCGGCCTCGGGGGGCCCTCGCCGGGCCTCGGGGCCGTCAAAAAACGACCCAGGAGGAAAACCTGTCCCGGAGAAAGGATCGGGGCTTCCAGGGACGCCGTCTGGAAAAAAACAGGGCGTCGCATGTCTGCGAGGGCCTTGGAGGCTGATGTTCGCGCCTTCCGAACGAGGCTGGCCGGCGAAAGTCGCTGACGATGGGCCGAAGGGGCGAGGATCAGGGGAACGAAGAATGACATAAGCACAAGCACCGATCCTAGAAATCCGCGCGGACCTCCGAGTTTTTATGATTATGTCATTGCTCGTTCCCCTAAGGAGGCAAGGGTAACCTTGAGAAGGTTGCCCATCCTTCATGTGCGGGTTGACTGTACCATAAAGGAGCGTATATGATTACACCAGAGAAAAACACAATCAATGGATGGTTTGATCGATATTAAGAGATCGACCAAGAACCCGGGAACCCGGAACCCACCGAAATCGGCCCGGAACCAACAACCAGGAGCCTGAGAACCCGGAACCAGGAACCCGGGAACCCAGCCGGCCACCAAAATCGGCGGGACACTTTCGCCAAATCATTCAATTTCCGCTAGGACCCCTTCAGTGCAAGCACTGATTGGTCGGGGGCGCGCAAACATGGATTAGCGACCCATGGATCTGGCGCGCGGTCGCCAAATCCATGGATCGGGGGAGGTGCCCTCCCCAAAATGCGGCCGGTGCCACCTCGCTCGGCGGCGGAAATCCACGATTTCCCACGGAAACGGGACCCGTCGCTGATCCACGCCCCCTTGATCCATGTGTGCGATCGCCTGCAATGGGGAATAAGCTTAGGTTGGTGCCTGTCCCCCTACAGACGGATTCTGCACGAAAAGTCACAAATACCTTCAAAATATCCCCAAAGAGTCAAAGAATTAACAAGAAATAGTCCCCAGACTATGTTTTGACTCTTTCTGGATACTCCTCCTTCAGAGGTATACGCCCGACGTAAGTAGGGCGTTGGCAGAACTGGGTTTAGTGGAACCTGATTTAGTGATCTGTACGGGGGGCGCCCCCCGTCCCATCTCCACGAACCGGAACTGCCGTCACCCGAAAAACACCAGCTACGGCAAACCTGGCTTAGTGAATCTGGCCGATTGAGGGGCCCCAGGGCCCTACCACTAACCGGGTCCCCTTACCCGGGGTCCTGGCTATACCCGACTCAGAATAAGCAGCGGAAGGGGCTTCCCCCGCCGCGCAAGGGCCGAGGCTGGGGAGATATCATGGCCCCAGCCATGATACCCACCCACCCCTAGTCATCACCCCCCTCGTTGCCACCCCCAGCTTCAGAGGGACACGCCCGACTTCAGGAGAAGCAGCGGCAGGGGCGTCCCCCGCCGCGCAAAAGGGCCGAGGCCACGGACGGGCGCTCCACGGCGCCAGGAGGTCCTCAGGGAGCGGCCCGAGGAGGCCCGAGCCCCTCGGGGAGCCCAAGAGTCGACGTTTGGAACCCCACCCTCCCACTCAGAAATCGTGGGGGGTAGGCGCAGGGGTGCGCATGTGGCCCCCTATCTGACTCGGCGTTTCAGCACTGGGCTTAAGTCGGGCGTGTCCCCCTGCAGGGGGCGTTTCGACGAAGAATTAAAAGTACTCCAGAAATACTCCAAAGTGATCAAAAAATACTTTAAAAAATAATCCCCAGACTATTTTCTTACTATTTTTGAATATCCCACCTGTAAGGGGACAGGCCCGACTTAACGCTGGGCGGAAGGGAAGGGGGGGTGGGAGAGAGGGGGGTGGCTCCGGACCTCTGCCTGCTGCGACTTTTTTTTGCAGCAGTACATCCTATGGGGGGAGACTCCACCAGCTTTGAGACAGGCGCCCAAAACCGCCAAGATCTGTATTACACGGGGGGGGAGGGAGGGGGGATGCGAGGGTCCGCGCCAGTCGGCAAAACAATGAACAAAAAAACGATCATAAAGGGGTCCTTGTTTCGGTGTCTCGGCTGTCCTCCCCAGACCTCTCCCGGGGTACGCTCTGACCAAAACTTCGGGGCGAAGCCAGCGGTGGCGACGAGGGCCTCTCGGACGGGCTAAAGAGAGGGAAAACAACGAGGGAAGGGTAGCGGTATATATGGTTCGGTGGCAACTCATGGGAGCCTCCCATCCCATCTTGTCGGCTCTTGCGAATCGACGCTAAATCGACGCGGATCGACGCTAAATGAACGCTAATCGAAGCTAACCGACTCCAAATCGGTGCTATCTCATCGACCCCAAACGCTGGTCGGCGCTAAAGACGGAACTATAAGGGTATTATACCAAGCTCCCATGATTTGCCACCGAAGTATGGGTGCCTTTTCTGCGAGGCGGGGATTTATCCAGATCCACCGCCTGGGAACCGACGTCCTGGTGCCCTGGCGGGCGGCGGACATGGATATACTTCGGCCCCCAGTGGCCCGAACATGTCCAGATCCGCCGCCTGAAAACTCCGAAAACATGACCCTCCAGGTGGTGGTCATGTAGAAGTTCCCGCCTCGGCTTTTCCTTCTCTAGGGGGCCACATGCGAACCCTACCTCTACCCCCCCACGATTTCTGAGGGGGAGGGTGGGGTTCACTTCGCTCGGGAGCTCCCGAACGAAGTGAACCCCACCCTGCCCCTCAGAAATCGTGGGGGGTAGGGGTAGGGTTCGCATGTGGCCCCTTATTCTCTGACCTGTCGTGCACCGCCGTGGTGATCACCGACACCAGCGCGTCCGTCATCCCGCCGGCGGCGGACACGATCGCCGCCGTGGGGATCCACCTGCCGGCCTCCCGGGAGGCCTGGGCGACGAGGAGGTCCCCGCACGTCCGGTACAGGGCCGCGTCGTTGAGGGAGGCCCCCCCGAACTTGTGCACCTCTCGGGCCGGGCGAAAGGGGGGGACAGCAAAGGGGGGGGTTTGAGAATCAGCTCACGGAGCTGATTTCCCCGGCGCCTCCCGGCGCCGGGAGGTGCCCATGTATCGAGGAATGGGCCCGGCGGCGGGGCCGAGACTGCCTGCATGCAGCAGATTTCGTAACCCCCCCTTTCCCTATCCCCCCCTTTCGTTCGGCCCGAACCTCCCAGTCGGCCCCGTAGCTCCGCCAGGAGAAGGCAGTCTCCTCGCCAGGATAGGAAAAGACAAAAAGCGCCATAAACATATAAACTGTTGGCGCGGAATGCTTGTCCGGCGCCGAGCCGAGAAGTCCGCGCGGACCGCCGAGTTTTCATGAGTATGTCATTGCTCGTTCCCCGAAGGATGCAAGGGTAGCCTTGGGAGGGTTGCCCATCCTTCATGTGCGGGTTGACTGTACCATAAAGGACCGCAGATGATTACACTAGAGAAAAAACACCAGAGAAAAACCACAATCAGAGCCCAAAAAACACAACCACAACCGCTGGGTGGGGGACCCAGCGCGGATCCAAGAAATCCGCGGAGAGCGCCAAAGTTCTGTTTATGGCTTTTTTACGGCGGACATGCCCGTATCCGCGCTCTCACGGTCTGGACTCCAGGGCTGGGGGGGCGCAACGATAGGGGGGGACTGGCATAGGGGGGGATGCATCGACCTGGAATCGGCGAAACATCGCCGATAGATCGGCGATAGGCCCCCGATAGTGAATCCGAACTTTCCTGGGCAGGTTGGGGCTATCAGGCCCCTATCGGCGAACAATGGGCGATTGGGGGTCGATGCAACCCCCCCTATGCCTACCCTTAGATCGGGCATGTCTCCCTACAGGAGGATTTCGAACGAAAAATCAAACATCTTCTCTCATACACACACTAAACAAAAAATAAAATTTAAAAAAAACACTAATAATACTCAAAAGATCGTCCCCTGACTATGTTTGGACTATCTTTGAATTTTCCTCCTGTAGGGGGGACACTCCCAACTTAAGACTACCCGCCCTATCGTTGTCCCTGATGGGCGTGCTCCCGCGGATACGCGGGAGCGCTCGGAAGCCGGGCAAGGGCTGCTAAATCCGTGGCTGCTAAAACCGACCTCCGGGAAGTTGTCTTCGTCCTTCCGGGAAGAAGCCCGTTGACTGTGTCGCGTGCCGCGCCCCATTCGGGGAAGTCGTTTTTTCCTTCCGGGAGGGCCGTTTGAGCAGCCACGGTTTTAGCAGCCCTCGCCCAGCTTCCGAGCGCTCCCGCGGAGACGCGGTCGCCCGGAGGCCTTCCGCGCGGGGGCATCCGCGAGGCGCGACCCGTGCCTCCGCGGGGGATCGCGACCCTGCGGGCCTGGCCCGCGAGGCCGACGACACGAACATGTCTGTCGCCCACGAGTACAGGCAAGAGGTCCTGAGGAGGAGAAAAGGAGGAGGAGGAGGAGGAGGAGGAGGAGGAGGAGGAGCAGGGAGGGAGGAGGGAGGAGGGAGGAGGTAGGAAAGGGAGGAGGGAGGAGGCAGGAGTGAGGAGGGAGAGGGAGGAGGGAACAGGTGGAGCAGGAGTGAGAGAGGAGAGGAGGAGGAGGAAAGGAGGAGGAAGCTGGGGGAGAGAGGAGAGGAAGGAGGAGGAGGAAGAGCAGCAGCAGGGAGGAGAGGAGGGAGGAGGAGGAGGGAGGAGGGAGGAGGGAGGAGGGAGAGGGAGGAGGGAGGAAGGGAGGGAGGGAGGAGGGAGGTAGGAGGAGGAGAAGAGAGGAGGAGAGGAGGAGGAGGAGGAGGAGGCAGGGCTAATTTCGATTCCTCCGAGTCGATTCGATTCGATTTCGATGATTTCCGATTCCGATTCGATCCGATTTCGGATTCCGATTTTGGCTCAGATTTCCTAGCGAAGGCCTGCTGGGCTGCCGATTTCCGCCGATTCGACTTTTCCCGACTCGGCTGCCGATTTCCGCCGATCCGAGCCATTTCGATCGCCGATCCGACTTGTCGATTCGATTCTGGGCTCTCCTGAGGAGGGAGGAGGGAGGAGGGAGGAGGGAGGAGGGAGGAGGGAGAAGGGAGGACCCCAGGGCTCCGCCGGGACCAGCCTCATATCCTTGGCGGTTATACTGCTCGGGGATCGCTACTGGCCTGGGCTTATCCAGACCCGGGCCAGCCAGGCCTCACGGGATCCTGCAAGATCCTCCAAAATCCTGCAAGAGCCTGCACCCAGGCCCCAGGTCAGTGCGACCCTGGCCCTGCAAGATCCGGCGCTCTCGCACTGACCCCCGCTTGCACTGACCCCCGCCCCTCGAACCCCGCACTGCCGACGGTCGCCGGGGGCCGGGGCTCAGGCCCCGGGAGGGCGGCAGCGCCGAAAGACCGCCTGCAGGACCCCTTCCCCTCCTCCGCCTCCTCCTCCTCCTCCTCCTCCACCACCAGCTCCTCACTCCTCCCTGCCTCCTCATTCCTCCTCCTACCTCTTCCTCCCCTCCACCGCCTCCATCCTCCTCCTCCTCCTCCTCCAGCTCCTCCTCCTCCTCCTCCTCCTCCTCCTCCTCCTCCTCCTCCTCCTCCTCCTCCTCCTCCTCCTCCTCCTCCTCCTCCTCCACGGCGGCCTCCGCGCGGGCCGACGGAGCACCCGCCGTGGCCACCCGGACCGCCACGGAGGGCCTCCCTCCGCCGCCCGACCGGCGCCGCCGAGCGCCGGCTGCGGCTCCGAGCACCAGGGGCGCGCAGGCCGCCGCGGTGGCCGCTGCCCCGGGCCACCGCTGGCCCTGGGCAGGCGCCTGCTCTGCAGCGGGCGGCCAAACAGAGGGAAACGAGCAATCGGGAGCGGCCAAGAGGGTGTGTCCAAGAGGGGGGGGTGCAAATCATGACCGGCGGCATGTGCGCGGCCCAGCGGGGGGGTCAGGGACGTAATGAAACAAGAAGAGGCGCCATGAAATCTGGGGAGATATCATGGCCTCCGCCATGATATCCACCCCCCCTAGTCATCACCCCCCTATTTGCCGCCCCCGAAACAATGACACGAACATAAAAAACTCGGAGGGTTCTGGGCAGACTTCGGTGGGTTCCAGGTTCCCGGGTTCCTGGGTTCCTGGTCGATCTCCTTCTCGATCAAGCCATCCACTGATGGGGGCTTTTCCCTGGTGTGAACACATGCGCTCCTTTGTGGTACAGTCAGGCCGCACATGATGGGTGGGCAACCTTCAGAAAGGCTACCCTTGCATCCTTAGGAGAACGAGCAATGGCATAAACATAAAAACTCGGAGGTCCGGGCGGATTTCTCGGATCGGCGCTGGAGCCCCCTGGCGGCGCCCATGCAGCGCGCCAGGGAGGGGTTCCCCCGGGACCGGCTCTTCACCCTGAACCTTTATTTGACGGCCCCGAGGCCCGGTGCGGGCCCCAGGAGGCCGAAACTAGCCAAAAACTGCCCCTGACATTTTTTCGCAACGCGAGGGGGTCCGGCGAGGCATGGGCCTCAAACATCTCGACCCCTTCCCTGCGGCCGGCCTCTCATACCGAGCCATCCTCTGACGGCCGCGGGGCTGCGCCTCAGGACTGGTTTTATGTCGGGCGCGTCCTCCTACAGGAGGATTTTCGACGAAAAATTAAAAATACTCCAGAAAACCCACCAAAAAGGCAAAGAAATACTCAAAAAATAGTCCCCACTCTATGTTTTACTATTTTTTGACAATTTCGGTATTTTTCATTTTTCATAGAAAATCCCCCTGAAAGGGGACAGGCCCGATTTCAGACTAGATTCTCGTGGACGGCCCTGGGGGGGCGGAGAGGGGAAGACTTCTTAGAGGAAGGCTGCTTCTTAGAGGGCGCCGGCCTTGCATCCACAGACTGGGCCCGCGCATCCTGAGAAGCAGGAGTGCCTCTAGGAAGCCTCGCGCCCCCTCCGCCCTACCCCCCCCTGCGCGTGGCCGACGAGAAGGACCGACACCGCTACTCCCCAGACCTCTTCCGGGGTGCGCTCTCACCAGGATTTCGAAGCGAAATGAGGGCGGCGACGCGGGCCTCCCAGGAGGCCCAAAACCGGGGAAAGATTGGAGCGAGGGTGCCTCTAAGAAGCCTTCCCCATTCCTCGGGGTCGCGCAAACATGGATTAGCGATCCACGGATTTGGCGCGCAGTCGCAAAAGCCATGGATCGGGGGAGGGGCCCTCCCCAAAATGCGACCAAGGCCGCCTCGCTCGGCGGCGGAAATCCGCGACTTCCCCACGGAAACGGGACCCGTCGCTAATCCACGCCCCCTTGATCCGTGTTTGCGATCGCCTCCTTTCGCCGGAGCTCAAGACCGCGCGCTGACAGACGCGTGCCCCAGGACAGATAACGTGCCAGAGCCTCGATGGCCTCGTCGAGGGCTATGGCTTCGGCTTCGAATGACGAGATTGGGCGTTGTGTGAACGTGCCGGCCATGGCGACGTGAAGCCTCCCCCGACGTTGCCCCCTGAGCCCATCCCCCCCGACGTTGCCCCTGACCGGAGCTTCTAAGAAGCCTCCGCCCCAGAGCCCTTTCCCCACGAACCCCCTCCCCCCCCTCGCCAACCGACCCCAAATCCCCCCCCTCCCCCCGACCCCCCCCACGAAGGTGCTTCTGAGAAGATGCTTCCCCCCCTTCCCCCGACACCCCTCCCCCCCCCCCCCCCCCTCCCCCGACCCCTCCACCCCCCTCCCTCGACCCCTCCCCCCCCTTCCCAAACCCCTCCCACGTAGGTGCTTTCTAAGAAGGCTTGCCCCCCCTCCCCCGAACACAACCCTCCCCCCCCCTCCCCCGACAACCTCCCCCCCGTCCCCCGACCCCACACGAAGGGTGTTTCTAAGAAGGCTTCCCCCCCCCTCCCCCGATCCCCCCACCCCTCCTGCGCGTGGCCAACTACTCTCGTGGACGGCGCAGGCCGGGGGGTGGGGGGGGCGGCAGAGTTGCACGCCCGCCCCCCGCTGGGCTCAGGTCGGGCATGTCCTCCTACGGGCGGAGTTTGAACGAAGACGCAACATGATCGAAAGACACGCAAACATACTCAAAAATGGTACGGCGGCGACGGGCGGCACCGCCCGCGAAAGCCGCCATTCGCCCCGAGATGGGTAAGCCAAGTAAGAACGACTAAGTGCCAGCAGTGGTGGGGAACCTTAAATAACAAAAGCAAAGCTAAGCTAAGCTAAGCAAAGCAAAGCAATGCGGCGACGCACGGCGACGGACGGCGACGGACGGCACGGCGACGAAAAGCCGGCACTGGTCCCCAGGTGGTTAAGACAAGGAGGAACCCCTCAGCAGGGCTGGACTCAAACATTGTTCTTTTTGTGCTCGTGTTGCTGTTCGTTTTGCTGTACCTGTTTTCCTGAACCTCGTTCCCAAAACGAAAAACCGAACACCGCCGAAGTCCAGCTAACCAGCGTTTAGGTCCAGCCCTGCCCCTCAGTACAAGGACTGTTTGGGGGAAAGATCGTCCCCTGACTATGTTTTACAGTGTTCTGAATACTCCTCATGTGCAGGGACATGCCCGCCTTAACGTTAGGTCGGGCATGGCGGAGTCTGGACTAAACATACAACTATATCAAACATATGTTATGTAAATATACATGTATATATGTCTATATATGTATGTATATACAACTCCGCCCCTGACGATTTGTTTAAAGCATGCTTGGATACTCCTCCTGTAGAGGGACATGCCCGACTTCACGGTGCACGGACGCCCCCTGCTGGGCCTGCGCCGCCGCGGCGCGGAGCCTTGGGCAGGGACCGACCGCCCTGGCACTCCTGTAGGCCTACCATGACATGCTCTTCGAACCCCAAAATGCTCTGAGAACAGAAAAAAACATTATCTGAACATGAATCGGGGGCGTGCAAGCATGGATTAGGTCACCTCCCCCCCATGCGCCCAGTGCCGTCTCGCTCGGCGGCGGAAATCCGCGATTCCCCATGGACACTGGATCCGTCGATAATCCACGCCCCCTTGATCCATGTTTGCGACCGCCTGACTAAAACAAGCCCTGTGTGTTAAGACAAGACGGCCCCAGCCAGAAAGGTTCTGAGAGCACTTCGCGCACACCGCACAAGGTTCTCAGAAGATGCCCTTTGCGGTGGGCCTGTTGTCCACCGCCGCCACCAAAAGTAGGAGGGGGATGGGGGGTCC